ATTATATATATAATATATAGCTCCACAACACGGTGGGTGCATAGTTCATCTAGTAGTAGAGCAGAAGCAGCGGAACTACACTCAATACATTCAAACTGTGAAGGTTGTAAATTTAGAAGTAAACTCACATTTAAAGATGAAATCCAGGCGTTGATTTGATAGAGCAACATCATCCTCGCCTGAATCCAATGCAGTCAGATGACAGCAAACCCAGAGCACCAGCTTTAAATTGTTTTGACTCTCGAGCAAGGCGTCTAAAAATGAACACCACAGTGTTAACTACTGGTCGCATTCAGAATGGCCGCTAGTGTACTGACAGTAGAACGGAACATACCTCGGCAATCCAACCAGAAGTCGGCACAGTTCATGGAAACGACCAGTGAAGGATTCATTTGGATACAATCTTTTCCTTCTTTGGACGCTGACTTGAATTTTGAGGGTAGCATGTCCATTAGGTCACTCCAGCTTGATTTGCGTAGTTTTTCATTTTCCCCATCTTGGCGCAGGGTGTTCATTAGACACCAAGCTTGTACTGTATTTTCGGCTTGATGGACATCTATGAAACTCCACACAAGATGAGAGAAAGGCTCCCGAATTGCGGATTGTATCGATTTGTGAAGTTCCACAGAACGTCGATAGTTCTCACACAAAACATCCAAAACCACTTTGCTTTCAACCTAAATATTCAATAAATCGTGTTTTGTTGGGTTACTAATCCCGTATTCGAGAAGAAATTTAGCAAGCAGACTGCAAGAATGAAACCATGTGAGCGTAGGTAAATCAACTGTTCAAATACATAGCGATTGCACCTCGAACGAAAAGAGGAAAATACTAGGCCCCAAAGCAGGGTTTGATTTTGACGTTCCATCCGCAACTTTCATGCATTTTTCATTGATCTGTGGACAATTATAGCCTATTGCTATGTCACCATTACCGATACGAGCACGGATTTCGCTCCTGCCATCTGCTAGTTCATTCTTTCCTCGAGCCTTGCGTACAAATCACCAATCACTCATACCGAATATCCACTCCTGAATGTTGCCTTTCGCTTACCTTTTGCCAGGAAGACTGCAACATCGGTTACTCAATTATCTGTAATTATCATCTAAAATCGAAAAATTTTCGCAAGGCCCTTGTTTACACTACAGGATTTATAAACGAGTTTTACCGCTCCCCGTGCCGAATTTCCTGTGCCCTATTTGCGATGAAGTATCCTAACATCCAAGTTAGGTCAGGTGCTGAATTCACTCGTGGTATAATAGCTCGGGCAGAGTAACACACGTAACACATTTTCAGCCCTCTATCCTGTTACATAGTACACGCAGAGAGAAATCATAATCAATAGGTATTGACATGTAAGCAAATTCCGGAGATTATAGGCAAACTCTACTGAAATTCGCTGAACGTTGAGGGCAGCGAGAAGCAATCACAATAATGGTTGCGTTTACTTTATTGCGTGGAGACGACTGAAAAAAACTGCACAAACTCACACTGAAAAACCGTTGAATGTAGACGGCAGAATAAAATGACAGCCACGATTCAGACTCCTTGTGAAATCGAACGAACTTATCCGCAGGCAATCGGTGGATTTTACCATGAAGACTCTCAAGCAGATTGTAAAAATCTTCGGGAGAAGTGCATATGTTGATGCGCAAAAGGAACATATCGGCAATGACGTCAAAGCAAAGCGCGTTTTCTGACAGCGCGCCAGAATGGTTCTAGATAAAAAGGTGTGGAACTAAGAACCAAGACACTTACTTTGACCATTCGGGCATAGAACTGAAACCATTCAGGAGAATCTATATGTCGACCTTCGTTGATACATTCCATGCAGTGTGACGTCAAACGATCATATTGGTTTGACTCTGATAGTAATTGACCATATTGCAAGCAAAGCTCGACGCTTCCTGGATCTTTGTCCTGCAGAAGTCATCGGAGCATAAAACCTATACTCACCAGTTTATCCTTGATGGCGTTGACTTGGTGCTCTTCCGATGTTCTCAACTTTATTATAAAGTTGGTCAAAAACAGAGGACCGAACTTACATGCGGCGGCAAACAGATTCCTTTGGAAGATAACTGGGATGACCAAAACTGAAAATGCAAGTACATGTTACTACGTTCAAAGATGAAATACCTCAAGATCTGCAGGGTGTGAGTTTGAAGACAGCAAGTCGATAACTAAACGGAGTTGACCGTGATGTTAGCATCTTACCATGATTCAAAAGAACTCTGTCATCATAGCCAAAAGTAAATGCCATTTTATATGCGTGTAAGGCCGAGAGGTTATCACCAAGGTCTTCACACACAGACCCCAACAACGCATGAGCATCAGGATCTCGTGGGTGAACTTGTAGAAATCGGTTCAGGTATCTAGACTTATCAGAGCTTCACCCTAAACGAGAACAAACCCTTTCGCGGTTTTAAAATCCTTCAGATCTATATACAATTTGGATATTTCTAGGCCCAAAGAATTTCTCTAAATAAAAAATACATTTCTGTGTGCACACTGTGATTACCTCCTTCGTATTGTTGCACCTAGATAGAAGGCGAGATACATGGTGGTCAACGGCAGACCTCGAGTTCATCGTACCGTTTGGATTGAAAGAAAATTGGCCGAGTAAAACAAACACTTCAGTTCAGCTCAGCTTGCATATGACAGAAAGTGGCCACGGCCAATTGAGTGTCCGGAATTCCTGCCGTGCTATGCGGTTTTAGCGATTCTCCAGTCGACAGTTTTCCAACGGCAGTTTTTTTCTTGCTTCTTGCTTTTTGCTTCTTTCTCCGTGCTTTTTGATAGATCAATTCAAGCTGGACGTGACCATCAAATTTCNGTTCAGTTCACTTTGCACAGGACAGAAAATGGCCACGGCCAATCGAGGGTCCAGAATTCTTTCGGTGGTATGCGGTCAAGTATGGCACCCACCACTGCGAAAAGTAGTCCGTACTTCCTGGCTGGAAAGCGGAAGGGAAGGATGCCTCATCTCACCTCCACGGCGAGAGATTGTTATACGTGGCCGTTCCTCTAGCGGACTACATCCCAATACATAGTGTAGTGAGAAGGCGAGCTGGCTGGGAAAAAAGTCTATTGATCCAATTCAAAAGTAAACAGAGTATGAACTCGATTATCTACAATCATTTTCAGCCGCGCATAGGGATGATTCGGGCCTCTTTCTGTGGGTCATTCCTTGTTGGTATTGGTCTGCACGTGGCACGTACGTTGCCCATTCTTTCGCGTGCCATTCCTCGTGGATCGGACGGGACAGGAGGTCTGGAATCTCGTTATCC